TCATCATGTCTGGAACAGCTGTCAAAGGCATTTTATGACTGGCTATTTTATTTTGTTTATTATTTTACTGTATATACCTGCCATCTCATATAATAACTCTGAGTGGCTTACAACAGGTTGTTCTAAAGATTATTGTTGTTGTTGTTGTTGTTGTTGTTGGTCACAGTCAGCCAGAGGTTTAGATTGGGCATTTATTATTTATTTATTTATTTATTTATTTATTTATTTATTTATTTATTTATTTATTTATTTATTTATTTATTTATACAGTATTACTAATGTTGATTGTTTATAATCTTCAGTTGACAAAACATCATGAGATAACAATTTTTGAATGAACCTACCTCATATGGGTTAATGTCCACTTCAGCTTCACTGAGAAACTGACCAAGGGTGAGAAACGAAAGTGGGCACGTTGGTTTTTCACATAAGAAATGCTTTGCAACTGGGTGGATTCCATAGGATGATAGAAGGCAGTCTAAGAATACCATGACATTAACATGGATATCACCATAGTTACACTTCAGGAAAAATGCTATTTGATATAAAAATGCAGCACTTGGCATTTAAATCAGCCAAGAACTTCTTTTTAAACATTTCCTGTAAAGTAGGATTCATTTGTAATGCAATACCTAAAATATTTCACTTGGATGGAAGACAACAGTACTTGGCACTTAGCTGTCTCTCCATTATTTGGCAACAAAAATGAGGCTTAATGTGAAAATAGTTTACACAAAATATAACTAATATAATCCCCAGTATAAAATTATGCTAAAGTTATCCATTAATGTTATAATTAATGTTATCCATAGAATTTAAGACTAAATGACAAAACTAAGTATTTTAGTTTTTAACTAGAATGGCAGCCTTCGTTCCTAGAATCAGCTTAGCAGAAGTAGTGGTACGCAGAAAATAATTAATATTTTATGCTGATTAAAACATAATTAACATTAAATGAATAATAAATAATTGGTTGCTTTTCCTTTCTGCATTTTAATTTTAATATTTTTTACAAAATACGTCCGTGTCTGTTGCCCTTAGGCAAGGCCTGCAGTTTTACTAAAATTAACCAAGAGTATAAAAAGCATTAAAAGAATTCTTCAAGGAATGGAAATGCTTTCAACAGCTCATGTTAATGACTTTGGAATGTTTTGCCATTTATATATTTATATCCTGCTTTTATTATTTTTATAAATAACTTGTGCCACAAACACATCCAACAGACTATTCTCTCATGCAATGTTGTGCAGACGAGAAGCCATGCTGATTCCAGCAATGCTGTTTATTTAAGATAAGAGCAGACTATAAACCAACATGTAGCTTCCGGCTAACAGCCCCTTTTATGGGAAGCTGTCACCCGTTAACCAATAACTTTAAAATACATCCCACACTTGCACGGCAGAAGTAAAAGCCTCTGCTTGTATCTGCATGGACATAACACTCCCCACAACAAGAACCCTGTAAAGTGAATTGAGCTGAGAGAGAATGATTGACTCAAGATCATCCAGCTGGCTTCATGCCTAAGGCGGGAACTGGAATTCAGTCTCCTGGCTTCTAGCTTGGCGCCTTAACCACTAGATCAAACTGGACTAACAATTATTTATTAACAAACGGTCAAACATTTCCTGATATTTCTCTTTGTTTTTGAGATGTAAGCCTCATGTGATAACCAAAGCTCTTCCATCTTCTGGATACACACAACCAAATGTTATCTCACAATAAAGTAAAATGTAATAATAGTAAAAAACATCTGAATTCAATTTTCCACCAAAGAAGTTATTTCAATTTGACAAAATTAGCTTTGATTCTAATGCAGACTTAATTTCCAAACTTTTTATTCTTTTTTTTAATTTTAAGATGCGAAAGAAAAAAATGAAGGAGATTCAATAATGTGTTGAAATAGAAGGAGAATGCTATCATATCCTTGTGTATGAAAACAGTTATTAACAAAGAAAAGCATACAATAATAAGTCATATTAGAAGAGCTGCAAATACTACCATTCATTTCATTGATGCCTATGTCTCTAAGCATGAACAAAAGATACTGCTAGAAAATGCAGATCATGAACTCTTGAAAAGATTTCCAAAACATACCTAATAAAAATATCTTGTTAAATCTGCTATTATCTTGCTAAAATCCAAAACTGTCATTCAGATGGAGTGTTCAAGAGAATATCTGAAGAAGTTTAAAATACATCTGCTTGGAAGAATTATCCTTGGTCATTTTAAATGTCATATTATTCATGGAATGACTGGAATATAACACACAACCAAATTGGGGCGTGTACTTTATGGAGTAGAGAAACAAAAGTAAATAGTATTTTTAAAAGTAAATACTATTTGTGTCATACTATGTAGTTTCATTATTAATATTTAAGTTGGTTTTACATAACAGTAGAAAAAAGAAAAATTAAATTCTAATATTGTTTTGTAAATAATATTTCAAAAGTTGATAAAAATCTTGTTTGAGTTATAAGTATGAGTTATTTTATTAACCTACTTGATGAATGAGTGTAGTTAGGAATGAAAAAGAAGTAATCCTTGAAGTAACTACAATTTTAGCCACTTTGAGATATATAGATGTAACTTCTCTATAGGGACCGAGCTCCATTTGTCTTCACATCAGACATGGCTTATGTTATCAATGGTGGTGATAAACCCTCCAGTCGTTTCCATGATTTTGTGGATCTCTGCTGCCAAGCTTACAACCTTATCCGGAAGCATACTCATCTCTTCATCAATCTTTTGGGACTGGTGAGAAAACATATTTTCCTCCCTATTGCTCATGCTCTTCAGAAACATTGCATCTGTCCAGTCAGCGCATTGTAATTCTTGCTGAACCCTTCATGTCAGTTGATTATTCAGGATACCCTTTAGAGTTTTGCATATTCTCCCTTTTTCAAACTTTAAGCAAAGATCAAGACAGAAAATGCATAATCTTATCTCCAATGATTGTCCTGCCCAAAGATCTCATTTTTATTCCTGAAACCACAAAGACTAAAGACTTGTTTTATTATTTTTCTTTAAACTGTATTTGGCATTTTTATCCAGCTTCCCAAGCACCTAAATTACTCAAATATTGTTGTTTGATAAGTTAAAGGTATTGTCACAAGATGTAAGCTGTTCCAAGTAAAGCTACCTTCTGCAATTGACTAGTGGTGATTTTGTCAATGCCGATGGTGTTCAAATGGTGCTCCAGTTGTTCTGGGATTGCACCCAAGGCACCTATTACAATTGATTCTATTTTTACTTTTTTTTCTCACAGGCATTCTACCTCTATTTGCAGGTCTCCGTATTTTGAGATTTCTCTTGTTCTTTCTCTTCTCTTCTACTGTCTCCAGATACTGCAGTGACCACTTTCCAGACTTTTTTGTCATTCATATCAGCGATTCTAAAGTCTGGAGCAAGTGCTTTTCTGTGAATTCTAAAGACCTTGAAGTCTTAGTGTCTTCATTTTCTATTTGTCTATTTTGTAGTCCCATCACTTTTTGCCTATGGGCAAATAGTAGTAATGATATGCAGAAAATACCATCAGTAATAGTATTTCAGGAAATCAGGAGTAGATGTTCCATTTCTAAAACTGGGATTGCCATAGTTCATATTTTCAACAGCTGCACCTCTTTATTTTCCAATGCTAATTTTTGATCTCTTTTTGCATTCAGATGCTCTCCTGTGGGATTCCTGAACTCTCTGACCTTGAGGACCTAAAATATGTTTATGATGCACTTAGACCACAAGACTCTGAGGCAGATGCTACTACCTATTTTACCAGGTGAGAAGATATTAGTCTTAACTCTGATAATTAGAAACTCAAAAAAGGAAGACATCAAACACCTGTATCCCAAAATCTTTTTCACCAACACTGTTCTGGGATCTTTATCAAAATCATGGAGTAGCACAGTCAACTTTGCATCACCATATAACTTAGAAATTCCATCCTTTGATACAGATTGATAGAGTCCAGCCTGGGCAGTGTAGCCACGAAGCTCAACTTCTTCATTCACAACCTGGCCCAGATGAAGTTCACAACATCAGACTCCCGGCCAACATTGTCATTTGCCCCCCGTGTGCACACAATCAAGACATCTAGCCGTATCGTTGATATTTTTCTCTGCCGACATGAAAAGGTCTTCAATCCCAGCAAAGGATATGTGAGTCTTTTTTATGGCCGTTTTGTTAGAGGGCACTACAGTAGAGACAATGCTAGGGCATCTGCTCTAGATAAGTGACACTTAAAGCAAGGGATAGTTTATACCAAATACAGAAATAATGTGGAATCTGCAGTTGAACCATATGAACTTTCATCTTTGCCTTGCAGATTTATATTCTGAAGGTGAAACGAGAGCACCCTTCTGAGGTCACATTCATTCAGCGCACATTTGAAGAGTTCCAGGAGCTGCACAACAAGCTACGCCTCATCTTCCCCTCTTCACATCTCCCAAGGTCAGTCTCCATTTTGCTTATAACCTTCATTTTTCCTTGATGCTGTACTCGGCACACTCCTGCAATTAACCAGGGAAACTGATTGTGTACTTATTTACAATTCTACATTTGCTTTCCTGAATGAAATGCAATTTTTCTATTAGGAAAGAATCAAAATTTGTGATTGAAGTAATAAAAAAGGTAATCTGGTTCTTGATCTGTACATTCACGGTGAGGCAATCAGTGGTTTTTCAGGAAGTGCATATTATCATTATTATTAACCCATGTTAATAGTACACAAGAGTGGGAAAAGCTGAAATGATTTCTGTTTAGGAAATAGATATAGGAGATGTGCTTATACATATAACCATATATACCCACTTTGACCTGTGTTAAAAATAACCTAAGCAAAGAAATCAGGTTCATAGAATATATAAAATGTGGCTGCATGCAGCATCTGAATTGCAGGCATGCGGTGAACACCCTGCCTTTTTGTCAAGCCAAGAAGAGTTTGATTCTTGCACGTTTATTAGGACAGTTACTTCTTAATAACATACAGTGATGTTGCAAGCAATCCTAAATTGGTTGCTTTCTTTCTATAGCTCTTTTTCTGGGAAGCACCATTTTCTGAACGTTTTTACTCCTTCTGGCTGAATGTATGGAGAGAAATCAGAATTTGGCATTCTCATCTTTTAACGTGAAGCAATTCCTTCCATGTACAGGACTTTTAAGGAGCAACTGTGTCTTTGAACCCTTCTGCTTCAGAAATTTTCTTGATGATTGGGCTCACTGCTTAAATGTCTCTTTCTCCCCCACCCAATCCAATTTCCCAGCTTCCCTAGCAGGTTTATAATTGGACGATCACGAGGAGAGGCAGCCGCTGAGAGGAGGAAAGAGGAATTGAATGGCTACATCTGGCATCTAATTCATGCAGCTCCGGAGGTTGCTGAGGTAACATGGATGAAGAGAGATCATACTAGCAAGACTAAGGAGAATTTGTAGGCAAAGGCTTCAATATATAATAGTTCCACCTGAATTATTCTGCAGTTTGTCCCCAGGATTCTTGTCTAGAGAATTTTGCTTGATTATTCTACTGAAAATTTAAATAGCTTTCTCTTTATTGTCACTCCTGAAATTACTGTAGACTGCTAGTACTGAAGCATGTTGGGCCCTAGGATGCATCAAGATTATCTTGATGCTTGATATTCTGCTAAATTATTTGCATTGCAGAAGAAAAAGACAAGTCTGAAATCTCTTACCCTCATACATGTGGTCCACATCTTTTGTGCTGTTAGCAGTGATTAATTGATGGTGTATCCTCACTGCTACATTAATAATATTTGTGATAAGAAAAATGTCAAAAATCTCAGGTTACATATCTAAGCTGAATCTTAACTCTTGGCACTGTGGGAGTGGGGACAGAAATAAGTGACACATTATTTGCAGAATAAGTAGTGTATTGTCTCTAATGTTGAGGTTTTCTTGCAGTGTGACCTGGTATACACGTTTTTCCATCCTCTTCCAAGGGACGAAATTGCTGCGGGCACCAATCCAGCACCAAAACCTGCAAGTAAATATCATTATTATACAAGTGGTAAGAGTTATCTGCTTCAAGATATTCCATGTTTGACTGATAGCTGGTCCTGAGAGGAATAAATAAAATATTTTCATGCAGCCTATCTTGGGAGAAAGTCCTTTATGCATTCCATTGGAATAAGAAAACAATATTGGTTATTTACTATTTCTTCTTAAGAACTTATTCAGGGGTGGTTATATATTCTTCAGGACCTGAACTGTACGTATAATGATCAATAAGAGGCACCACACAAGCAATTTTATTTGGAACTAATCAGATGTACGTAGCCACATATCCATTTATGGAGTTTAAACCTTCTGGGAATTGCATTCATGGATCTTTCTTTGTTTAGACAACTATGTACAAGTCATAATCTTTAAGAGCTGTCCTAGTCCTGGTATTCAAAAGTATTACAGGAAGGGATGTATTATGTCCTGATATGTAGAGTCTATATTTAGAATGTTATATACAATATAGCTTCATTTTCTAAGCTCTAAACACTTAACAACAACATTTAACAACAGTTATTGGGTTCACAATTTCTGTTGCTAAGTTTTGGAAAGCTAAGCAGTTATAAAGCACACTGTCATGTAACTTTACCTCTTCGAAATGAAAATTACAATACTCTGGTTGCTGTTGTTAAGCAATCTCACAGTCATTAAGCACATCATGTGGTCACCATTTATGACCTCCTATTGGCTTTCTCGTTGACCGTTCTTATAGGAAGCTGTTAAAGAAGGTTGCAAATTCACATGATCATGGGAAGCTGTGATGTCATAATTGCAAGCCAGGTGCCTGGCACCTGGATCACAGTCATATAAATGCAGGGATGTTGCAACTGATGTAAGACAATGACCTGTTTTAAGTAGTCATTCAGACATAAGTCTGAACAGTTGCTAAATGATTGATCCTTAAGTAAGCACCACCTTATATTCTGTGAAGTATTTTTACTAACATTTTCCATCAGACAGCAGTACACAACCCATTTCACTGTGTTTGGAACTCACCTGATACACATACAGTAACTACAGCTTTTTATGGGTTTAATCTTATGATAATGATGTTATCCATTCAAGTTGTGCCTGACTCTTGGTGATTCTACAGGCCAGGTCTTTCCACATCTTCCAATCTTGCACTAGTTCTTTGTCAATCCTATAGAGGAGGGGGTGTTCAACCCCTAGGCCATGGACCCATGGCTGCACTAGTAAGCAAAGATTCATTTGCATAGACACAGGATCTAAGTAGCACATGAAATCATGTGTCATCGTCGTCCCCTGTCCATGGGGAAAAATTGGAGGCAGCTGTTATAGAGAACCCTTTAGACTTTTAACAAACATAATGTTTCTTATATTGACTCAAGAAATTCAAATGAGAACTCATGTATCAGTTAAAATGGGGCAAAATATATAGGACATTAAGTTACATTGATTTTGTATTAATATTCTTTATATTTTAGATTTTTAAAAGGGATTTTTAAATGTATGACAAATATTTTTTAGAAAAAGTACAAATATTTCTGCTCTTTGTAGCTGCCCCTATCTGATACTAAGCAAAATATAATTTAATTTATATTCCTTTTTCTTAGATGCTGTATGGTCCCAACCAGTTGGAAAAGTTGGTGGAGAGGTGAAATTATCAATCTCCTATAAGAACAACAAGCTCTTTATAATGGTGATGCATATTCGTGGCCTTGTAAGTGCTTAACATTAGCTATTCTAATGGTGTCTTCTAATCAATTTTCTGCACATTTATATAGCCTAAAGAACTGATTCATCTAATCGACTTTATTTCTCTCTTTTAGCAGCCTACTCAGGATGGCAGTGATCCTGATCCTTATGTTAAGACTTATCTTCTGCCAGATCCTCAGAAAACCACTAAGAGGAAAACCAAAGTTGCTCGAAAAACTTGCAATCCAACTTATAATGAAATGGTATTTGTTTGTTCACCTTGTGTAAATGAAGTAGCCCTTGTATAGATTCAGAAGTCCCAAGTACAGGCAGAGTTGGAGCAGATAAAGTGGTGGGCTGACTCATTCTTAAAGCATTGTAGAATCTGAAAAGAAATGAATTTACTTTTTGAGCTCGCTGCTTGTCTGATTCTGGAGATTTAACATTTAAAGAGTGGATTCAATTCCAAAACCTTTGCTGAAATTGTCAATTTGCTTAAGCCAGAATATAGACTATTCATTCTGGTGATAATTGTATGAAATAAGCTCATACTACAGTGTAGCTTACACAACTACAACCAACAAAACTTCTAATTAACACGGCATAAGTTTTGTACAGAGAATTACAATCTGATGCATTGCCTCTAGCTTCTAATACTTGCAAAACTGAGATGCAGTTGCTATGCAAAAGGCGCCTATCCGTCAAGAGTAGCCAGATCTGTATGTGATTCAGCAGGCATTAAAATATTGTCTTATCCATTAATATGTTGCCAATTGAAATTATATTATTCTATTTGCACGTATTGAAAAATTATAAAGTAGATTTGTTGTGCATTTGAAGGATTATAAAATGGATGAATGAAAAAATAAATCAGAGAAATAACCTGGTAATTAAATGCACACATTTCATAAACAATTTAAAGTAGTGGCATTCCTAGGTAATCTAAGGAAAGAAATATCTGAAACCCAACAGCCAATCTTAGAGATGATGCTCAGTTAGCAAGACTAATTTGATTTACTAGGAAGCAGATTTTAGGCATGGTGATTGTCTAGTTATTGATATGGCTATACTAACCATATTATTCTAGCAAATGTAGTGAAATCTCTTGTAGGAAGTGATCAAAGGAAATTGACTTCAAAAAACACACTTCTGTCTAATAAAAAATCTTTTATTATGTTAGAATAAATTTTATTTTAAATAGTATATTAAAATATACTTTGCCTTACAGTTACTTTCTCATCACTGTAGTAGCTGCAAACAGTTGCTAAACGAGGCACTTGATAAATGATGAGAAAGTTAGAGGTGAGAAGTCTAATATTCTGCAACTTTTGATATCTTCCAGCTTGTCTATGATGGAATTCCTAAAGGAGATCTGCACCAGCGGGAGCTGCATCTGAGTGTCCTGAGTGAAGAGGGCTTTTGGGAGAACATCCTCCTTGGCGAGGTTATAATCAGACTACGAGATTTAGATCTGACACAGGAGAAGATGGGTTGGTTTGAACTGGGCTTTAGGAGCCATGGGATCATGTGAGAAGCAGGAAGGCAGCCTTAGCTTCTTTGGAACTACTTTGGCCCATGGAAGTCGCTGGGAACTAGTGCATGTTCCAGGAGTTGTATCCTGGTATAAAATTCGAAGGATTTAATTTTCTGCAAATAAGAAGATGGACATTTTGTTTCTGTGCAAATGAAGAGTTAATTTCCTGTGGAGAGTGAACATGTTGGGGTTAAGTCATGATAGGAAATCCTATGACTTGAAATGGCTGCTGTAGACTTTTATCTTTGAATACATTTACCTTGTGTCAAGGGAGCAATGACTTAACTGAGGGGGAGGGTTTAAATATTAAAGGCTTCCCCCTCCCCTTTGAAATATTTTTAATTTTTTTAAAACAATTTGAGGCCAGATGTGAATTGTAGGATGGAATCTAGATGGAGAGGAATTTTGCAGAGTAATGAATGTTATAAATTAAGTTCTTATTGGACTTTCATAAATAATTTTTTATTTTAAAGGAACATTTGCATAAGTATGTGTGATGGGTTGGGAGATATGTGGATTCAGTATGAATGGAAGATTTAAACCCTTATCTCTGGGACAGGAGCTAGTGTGCTCCATCACAAGCCATCATGGAGACATTGCTTCCAAAGGAGAGCAGTAGTACTTGCACAAGCGTAGAACTTACATTTTTGATTTCTTATGATATAGAATCTAAAAAGCATGCTCTCCTGGATAAACATCTGGACTTATTTGGAGAAGGCAGAAGGCAACTCTGTTGTTGACTGCAACCATGCAGAAACAAAGGCCTTGATCTTAATGTGACTAAAAGCAATGTCTTATTTTTCAATCTTAGCTTTTCTAAATTGTCTCTTACATATATGATGTTCTAGTCAGTCTCAAGAGATTGGATGGGAAAATTTGTGCTGAGTCTTAGAAGCAAAGAGTTTTTCATTTACCCAAGCTAGGGAGTCATTGATTTCCTCTTTTCATAATCACAGTGTCAAAGTACTAATTCTTTAGATTAGCCAAGGATCTGTTTACCCATCCATTTGTAAAGCATGGTCATTTATTTCCAGGCTACTTACCGTAATTGAAATAAATAACATATTAATGAGTTTTTAAAACTTTTATTCATGACAGGCTTTTCCTCCAAGATAGCAAGTGAGAGGCAAAGTGGCTGGAACTTCTGAAAGTATTTGTGTTTATGATGTTATTGTAACAATTGTTTAAAGCTGTTGGCAATGACAAATTGCATTGTTGCCCTTTCTCCGAGAAGTAAAACTTTATAGAAATGATGTGGGGTTCGGGAAATTACCAAGTATGAAAACTTTTCTGTCTTAAGCAAAGATAATTTCTGTTGTTTTTTATTGTTATTAATATTTTTAAAAGAGACAAAGAGTTTTTCCACATCACAAGAACTTCTACACCACTTCCTTGCCTCAATGCCTACCATCTTCTAGCTCTTGCTGAACTCTTTACAGCGGGAACTCACCAAAAAAAAATTGGCATGTTTCTCAGGATATGAAAATGTGAACTCAATTTTTTTTAAGTAGTTATTCATGCCGAGTTCTATTTGGAGGAAAAAGCAAACTTGTGGGAGAAATCATTTTTGTTCTCTTTTGAGCTGAAGGCTTCTTTTTACTTTGTGTAATGATGTAACTGGATTTCAAAGAGACAACTATATGAATGAATTTGGGGCATGGCCTTTGATTATATCTTCCATTCTATAGGAAATGAGATAAAGGTGGCATCTTATGAATACTTGTGTCTTTCTACGTTGTAAAATGGTGACATTGGAAATAAATAAAGGAATTGGAATGCAATAGAGACTGTAGTATATCCATTTTAGTAGCAAAAGGATTGGAAATATATATGCCTTTTCAAATAACTATGTCATGAACATAAAATATTGTAAGATTTCCTTCAATGTATTGTAAAAATGGTTGAACTATAGCCCATTCGGTAAGAAAAGTAAGAATAGAAAATGAGTAGCTCACACCAACTATTGTTTCCCTTCTTAGTTTAGATACATTTAGAGAAAACTGATACTATTTTAAAATTACATGAAGAAATTACATTCCTAATTCCTCACTCATAATATTCTTTTGTATAAAACAGAAGTTAAACTCTTGATTTAGTTCTTCATGAAAACAGAAATTTCAATTTTCCTTGAAAAAGAGCTTTCCATATAAATAGAATCAACAAAGATACAATAACCCAGAGCAGATGTCTGTGGTGTTTATGATCCTATTTTTGATTCTCTGATTACTGATGGCTCAAGAAATGAATATTTCATGGAAATTTCTTCACTTCCATTTTTCCATAGGTTTGACTCTGGAAAAGAGCTGGGCCTCTTTATACCAATGCATTCTTATATTCTACCCTTAGCTGTGCTAGACGGTCTGTGTGATGTAAGAAGCCTGCCTCTCTGGAGCTATTAATTAATGAAACAATTTAATCATACCTTCTTATATTATGGTACTTTTTTCTGAAGAGATGCCCAAGAGACATTGATAATACCTCACATTCAAACACTTCCTCACATTATGATGAAAGCCATGTTCAACATTATCCAATCAAGATTATGGAATACACAGGGGTAAGTTTGCAGTAGGAGCCTGAAAAAGAGACCAGCAAAACAGGTTTTCTAATCTCCCTATGCTCTAAAATAGTTTAAGAATATTTTGCAATAGGGTTTTACTATCTTTGCCATTCCAAGTTGCCCCCAATTTACTTAGTCATTTTACCTCTTCTTTGAATAAGGCTAAATGATGTGTTTCATGTTTTAATTCTGTTTTGATGTTATTGTACTATTATTCTGACCATGATAAATTACATATATTCCTGAAGGCATCTTGCTCATTCACAAAAAGATTGCTGCACATAACTAGTTACAAAGTAGTATAGTAGTTTACTGAAATGTTGCCTGCCACTGCTTCTACCTTTCCTGAAAGGTATTGCCTTTTATCCCAAATTGATTTTTTCTCTTCTTGGATAGGTGGGCATAAGAATAAAATACTGAACTGCATGTGACTAATAATTTACAGGTAGTCCTCAACTTACAACCACAATTGAGCCCAAAATTTATGTTGCTAATTGAGAAATTTGTTAAGTGAGTTTTGCCCTATTTTATGACTTTTCTTGCCACAGTTGTTAAATGAAACACTGCATTGTTTGGTTAGTAGCACAATTGTTAAGTGAATTTGGTTTCCTCATTGATTTTGCTTTTTAGAAGGTTAGAAAGGGAGATCACATGACTCCTCATGACCATCATAACTATGAAACAGTTGCCAAGCATCTGAATTTTGATCACATGATGATGGGGATGCTGCAAAGGTTATAATTATGAAAAATAGTCATGTCACAAGTGTAACTTTGAATAGTCACTAAACGAACTGTTGTAAGTCAAGAACTATCTATATTTGCTAAAATTCTGGAAAAGTAGATAATGCTGGAAGCTAGTATTTGCTTTCACAATATGCCAAAATCCATTTTTAATTCAAATTATTTCTTTTTAATGAAGCCAGGTAGGGCAAGGAGGATGGCCTGCATAAAGAGATGTAATCCCAGCCACACGTTAGGGAAACTGGAGTTAGAGTGACTCCAGTCACTCTAACTCCAGTTAGAGTCTAGATCAGTGGTAGTCAACCTGGTCCCTACTGCCCACTAGTGGGCGTTCCAGTTTTCATGGTTGGTGGCAGGGGTTTGCTGTAGCTCTGCTTTATAAATTTTATAAAGTAAAGTTACTTCCCTACTTTATAAATCACCATTACTGTGGAACCAGTGGGTGGTTAGAAAATTTTACTACTAACAGAGATACAAAAGTGGGCGGTAGGTATAAAAAGGTTGACTACCCCTAGATAGCTATGAACGCTGTTCTCAGACTGATAAAGAGTTTTAATTCCTATTTCTAAAATTGTCAAAACAGGTGCAGTCTGCTTCTCTATAAAACAGACAAGCCACCTCTCCTTTCCATAGACATATCTTAATCACTCTTATTAATCTGAATTCAGATTTGTTCTTGAAATGAACCATTTGCAGAGCATGCTATTATTAGAGACCTAACAACATTTAAAAGTACTCTGGGAAACATAAGATACAAATTGCCTATTCCAGGTTTATCAATCTTGGCAGCTTTAAGATGGATGAACTTCAACTCCCAGAATTCCCCGGGCAGTGACCCTGGCTTATTCTTGAATTGGAGAAGGATCTGTGTTTTCAAAAACTGTATACCAGTGGATATATTAATAACTGAAAACACAGCATCCCAACCACCAAGGTCATTTTTTTTCCTCTTATGGAATTTAACTCAAAAGAACAAAAAGCACATTTTCCTCTTTAACAATCAACATCTGACTGTACTTTTGGGAGAACCTTCAGTAGGAGTAGAATATATTTATCAGTGCAACTGATACATTTTTTACAAGTTACTAAAAGAAAATTAAAAGCTTTTTGGTTTGCTTATATTGTAGAAATGTGGGATGACTGACACAAGGATCATCTAAGGTTGACTGTGTTAATTACCTAGCAACATAATGACACCTATAGCATTGATTGCACAGGTATTGCAACAGTATTATAACATCAGAAAATCAACAATAACAATGGATAATTCCAATGGTCCTCTTGGCCATTATACAATTTTCCATGAGTTTCAGGTTCATACCAGGCTTTATGTGGCATGATAACATCTGCACTCCAAAAATGAGTAGGGTCGAGATTCATCTGAGGGCATATTAAGTGGTAAAATAGATGCCATAGATCATTTTGTCCCTTAAACTACCTTCAAACTCCAAGAATGGCACAGAGGGAATGCTAATATATCATACTTTTTACCTTCCTATGTACTTGATGTAATTAATAGATTTCTGTTTAGGGAAAAGAAAGAGAATCAAGCAATTGTTTGGAAGCTTCAGCTATTGATTTTTTTCTTGTGCAAGTGCCTAGTCTCCAAGAGAAAAAAAGTGGTGTACTTGTTATTTGATATTTCATGTATGTAATTAATCCACAATAATAGAAATGTATTTTCTTAAACATACCCTACAAATTCTGCAAGTTGGTATTTAATGAATGAACATACTAATCAGCACATGAGGATGTCTCTAATTAAAATATTGAGTTAATTTCCTAATTATATAGTGAGAACTAAATCACAAAATAGCTTATAAAATTGAATAAAATATTTTATCCTATTCTATCCTGGGAGAAAGCACTGGAAATAAAATGGAGGCTGATTGGAAAGAAAGATTCCCTTTATTGATGAAGCAGAACCACCAACCACATGTGATTCTGGGCCAGCTGACCAAATAGAATTGAGAGGAGCTTGGTTTTTATACCTTCTGGATTCTTATGGGGTCATGTAAGGGTCATTGCTGGCTCTATAGGCAAAAGGGGAAATGCAAATCCTAGGTGTTTGAGCTAATTTTGTCAAACTTTTGTTTGTTGCTTATCTGAGTTTCTTTCTTGACCCAGTCTTTCTGGATGGATTACATTGGGATGAGCTTTAAAAAATGGTTCTCAGTAAAAAAAATATATGCAAAATCTCCAGCTGCACACTAATTTCTAGTAGAAGCAGAATTCAAATAAACTTTGATCTAAAATCTCAACTGATTCTCTGCTATCCTTGAAACAAGCCTAGCTTATCTAGTGGTTCCACCAAACTAAACAACCTTTGAAGTCTTGTCTACTACTATCTTATTACTATTTTTGAGCAACCTAACTTTTGCACCAATTTGTAAAAGGGAATATTTTTCCTACACTTTCTATTCTTTTCATAAAGGCTTCACAAGTTTGCAGTTTATGTCAGTTTATAAGACATGATTACAAATCATAATGGCTAGATCACGTTTTGACTTTACAGGGTCAATAAAACATGCCATCTCAAGATATAATATGGGCGGTATATTTTGGCTGCCTGTGTTATGTGACCACAACAATGGTTTATTAGCCTGGTTTAGAGCTTGAAGTGTTATATGAGCACAGCCTATATGTTCACCAGCAACTAGCAGCAAGAAATAAAACACCCAACTCCAAGTTTAGAAATGGACTTGGAAATCTGCGTGAGAAGTAGAATCTGTAACATGTTGCAATGAAGTACTCCAATTCTGAATGCTAGTAAGCTCTCCGGTGATCCCCCAAATCTGAGTTAACAAATCCAAGGTTCACTTTTCCTGTTAACGGTTCTTGTGGGTTTATCCTTTCCTTCCTCAAACATCTCAGGGATGGTGTCATTCTAACTGAAGAAAAGAACAGAAGATGTAGGTAGGATATCTCCTAAAGCAGGAGTCACAAACCTTTTGGACCTCAGGGACCACTAAATTCAAATTTTTAAATCCTGTGGACCCCTAATATGAATGTTTTTAAAAGATAAATAGTATTTAGTGCAATATAAAAAATGTAAATAATTTTTCTGTGGACCACCAAAATTTTCTCACGGACCACCAGTTGGTGACAGCTGTCCTAAATTGTTTCTGGCAAAGGTAGCAGTCAAATCTTGAGTCAAGAGAAACTATAAGGTTTACATTGAACTATATGCATTCACTATAATTTGCTAATTGTACTACTTCTGATCGTTCATTACTTTTTTTTTAAACTACTGGCTGATGCAATCCCCGGGCAGTGGCAACCTCCCAGTTAGCCCCATTCCCTCTCGACCGGAGGCGGGGCTACGTTTGACTAATCGCAAACTGTCAAAGGATGTCTACATTACCCGGATGGTGATGAAAGCCCCGCCCACCTCCTCCCGGCTGCTTTTCTGGAAACTGGAGTAGAGGCTGCACTTCTTCCCTCCTTGCTACGAAATGGGCGCCTGCGCGTTTGCTCCCT